TCTAACACGAATGACTTCTCTCATGTGGTCAATAGTTTCTTCATTTACTCCAGCCTGAATGCAAGCATAAACGAAGCAGTTATCTTCTGTCATAAGTGTTGCAGTTCTTTTGTTCATTCATTGAAGATTTGGTAGCGTTCAAGATTTATAGGTAATGTGCAAAGATACTTCCAGAACTGACCGCTTCTCTTCTTATAAAACTTCTTTTCACCAAGGATTTCATTCCAGAAGTCATCTATATCTTGTTTTCTCCTGTTTGTTTAAGTCTGTTCAAAATGGCTTTTCTGTCTTTTGTCAGTGTGCTTTCATCTCTATATGGTCTCTTTTTGGTTTGCCTTTCTTAACATCTGACATCGTTAAGCCTTCATATTCTGTTAAATCATACATCTTTATTTCAGTAAGATTCTTTATGTTTGTCAAGAAGAAGTCATAGTGCATTTCAACAATACCTGCAGCATTTGCTTCTATCTCTGATATAAAGTTCTCCTTCAAGAGCTGATGTAGTAATGTTCCAATATTATTGAGGTTTAACGTAGAACATTCATACTTTCCACCAAGTTTATAACATACCATCCATCTCTGTTGGGAGTTTATTTTAATCTTCTCTAAGAGTCTCATGAAAACCTTACCGAAATGTTTGTGTAAATAGTCTCTGTTTGGTTCATCTAAAGCTTCGATGTTAAAGTCAATGAGTCTATTGCCTGACTTCACATTTCTCTTCCTATTCTCTTCATCTTTTTTTAACCATCTCTCACCTTCTTTTGGTTTGTCGTCAATGGAACGAATGACATCGTTAGCTTTGCGAAATTGTTCTATAGCACTTTTAAACATCTCTCTTCTCTGTTGTTTCAGTGTGTCGTCTCTTCTTCTTGTTTCACCAACGTTTGCATTTGTTATGTCAAACATTTCTCTTCTTACTTCATGAGGTACTGAACGTCTATGATATAAGTCAATAGCAACGTCATTTAAAGGAAATGCTCTTGCATGGACTTCGTCCTCGCCGCGTTGCGGCTTTATGAACTCATGAATTCTATCATAACTTATTGCACCATTGTAGTCTTTAATGAAGTCAGCGAGTGCTTTTTGTTTGTTGCGTAATGTTTGCTACTTCTATGTTAGCTTCTGTAAGAAGTTGTTTTATTTCCGAGTGTTCTAACTTAGACAACTTCCGATACATCTTTAGTAGGAAATAAAAAAATATTTTTTTGAAAAAATTAGATTAGATTTTTTAAAGTTATTTTTCAAAATAATTTAATATTTTTATTTTAATGAAACACATGCAAGATTGCAAGTTCTTTTCATACAATGCTCTCGCTACTGCCATCAAGAATGAGTTCAATAATGCTTCAAATGTTAATGTTATCTTTAACAAGAAGTTTGTGAAAGAATCTAAGTTTGGTCAGTATGTCAGACCATTAGCTATTGTCATTGACCGCAAACGTTATACTTCACAAGAGTTAGCAGTAGTTTTGAAACAAAAGAGTTTCTTCGTGAATGTCAAAGATACTCATTATACTGTCATAAAGAACTCTAACGTTGACTTCTTCAGTATTGCTTTAAATCTTTCCGAACAGAAAGAATATAAGAAAGGTGAAACAAATGTGAAATATTATCCTTCATCTCTGAAGACAATAACGAACAAAGATGTTATACAGAAATTCTTACCAAAGGTTGAAGAAGCTTCTATTGACATTGACGAAGGAAGTGAAATGGTTGAAGAAATAGACCCTGAAGCTATTTAAGCAAAAATATATTTTTGAAGAACTGAAGGTGTCACCACGTCACCATGTGCTACCAGGTTAATTAACTTCTTTTAAAAAATGATGACAACATGACATTTTGACAACAGTCCAGGAAATAAATTTTATCGTTAATGTTTACGTTAATGTTTTTCATTAAATTTTGTCAAAGTGCAAATCTTCACTTCGTCAAAAAGTTAATGTTTTTCATTAAATTTTGTCAAAGTGCAAATCTTCACTTCGTCAAAAAGTTAATGTTTTTCATTAAATTTTGTCAAAGTGCAAATCTTCACTTCGTCAAAAAGTTAATGTTTTGGTTAGTCTTCATATCGATTATTTTACAACAATTCCCCAATGTTAAACTTTTCATACGCTTTTTCATAAGCTTTGTATGTCTTCAGAAATTTTGCATAATCTTTTACATGTTGTTCGTTCTCTTCTTCTGTCATGAGTTCCGAATATTCTAAATTCATGTTCTTTCATATGAGATAAAATTTTATAAAAAAAATAAAATTAGCTTAGATTTTTTTATTCTTCCTCTTTGAAGTTATCGAAATATTCTGTTATTTTTTCCTTCAGTAATGGTAAGTCTTCTTTGAATGTAAGTATTGTGCAACCTTTGATGTCATAGTGTGTTTGAGGAAGATTATTTTGACAATTTCCTTTATTTGCTCATTCGGTGTCATTGAAATCGGTAAGTTTTCACGATAGAACCAATTTCTGTCAGATTTGTAAATCTTAGCTAAGTCATAAAAGCTCTTGTTGTTTCTTCTGACTAAATGTAACATAACCATATCTTTATCCTTCTTTCTCCATCTCTTCAGTATATATCATATACTTATAACTCTTTTCCTTTCCTTTTGGTACTGAACGTGGTATTCTTTTCTGTATGCTTTTGTCTTTGGATTCAATGACTTCATCTTTTGCTTGAAGTTTCTTTTCCATCTCTCCACGTTCGCTTTATATAGTTCATCTAACATCATGAAAATATAACAAGCATAACGAGGTGAAGCCCACATTGCTACAGCATTTACTAAAAGTCTATGAACATAATAACCTTTCAAACCAGGAGCCAAATTCTTGCGATTTTCGTACGGAATCTCTTCCCTCGGTTTTCCGAGGGAAGCAATCATATGAGGAAATTCTTCTAAAAGTTCTTTTGTCTGTTGGTTTTCAAACCAATGATATGCTTGCTTTGTAGAAAGAAGAGCATTCAAAATACTTTGCATTTGGTACATGTCATCTTTGACAGAACGAATGAGTCTCAATTGTTTGTTATACTGTATGTATTCATATTCTTCATTTATGGCTTCATGAACTATAACTGTTGTTGTGTTCTCTAATGTTGACATTACTGTCTTTACATACAAAATAAAAAAATAAATAAAAATAAAACTAACTTTATTTTTCTGTGTTAAAGAAATGTTAAAAATTCATGGTTACATATGTGAAAAGAAGTCACGAACAAATGAAGGTCATAAGATTCAGCACATAATTCTGAATTGAATGGTGTGTCATACATGTCAAACCGTCAAGAATTGAAGGAGATACGAGGCTATAAAGATTTTGGATATTTTCTGACACACACCCTGAGGGAAAAGTGACAAAACACGACGATAGAAAAAAGTGACAAAATGAGAGAAAGTTGTCCCCCGACCAAAATGCAATCATGTTGAAAAGTGACATTTGTAAAGTTGGACGATAGGATTTCCTGAAAAAGTGCAAGACTTGTCTTGAATCAGGACAAGATTTGTCTTGAAAAAATACAAGACTTGTTCTGAAAAAATACAAGACTTGTCTTGAATCAGGACAATTGTTCTCAAATTTGAGAACTTTACAAGAAAAACTGACTAAAAAGTGCAAGTCTTGTTCTGAATCAGGACAAGATTTGTCTTGAAAAAATACAAGACTTGTTCTGAAAAAATACAAGACTTGTCTTGAATCAGGACAAAACTTTACAAAATGTAAACCTTACATAACCGTTTCTATCGTACATGATATTTAGTTGACATTGTAAACTATCTTCATGTAAAGTATGGCGGTTTGAAACCGTCGGAACCTTCACTTTTTTGACGAACTTTCCGCAGCAATTTTTAAAATGTGTGAAAACTCAACGGTTTGACACGTGCCATATGTCATTTTACTCAGAATCTCACGAATTCAGCAAAAATAATTTTTAGGGTAGATGGGTATATCTAACCTAATTTCTACCACGAATTCTACCCTCATTATTTATAACCATTTTACATGGTAAACGTTATTTTTGGAATTTTGTGAAAACTCAACGGTTTGACACGTGCCATATGTCATTTTACTCAGAATCTCACGAATTCAGCAAAAATAAATGGTTCATTTACTCACAATATTTTTGTACAAAACGACCCCAAACTTTTAACTTCTTTTCTGCAGTTTCTAATGCTATCTTAGCGAGTTCATATTCTCTAAATTCTCTCTTTAAATCTTCTTGTTCCCATTGGTCTAGTTCGTATGGAGAATCTTTATAACCATAACATATCTCACGTTCGTGTTCTAATTGTTTTTCATGCATTTTTCTAACTTCTTGTTCGAACAAAGGTTTAGCATTCTCTACTGTATCTTCGAGTTCTTCTTCATCTAACTTCTCATGAACTTTCTTGTCTATGGAGTCCATAATTTTTCCAACTGCTATGCAATATTTTGGAGAAGCCCACATTGCTATATAGTTTATAAGTCTTGCGTCTACATACGTTCCTCTAACCTGTTTGATTTCATCAGGAATTCCTGCATGAATTTTGTATAAAAAGCAACCGCCGGAATTCAGACGGTTGCTATATTCTTCACAAAATGCCTTATAATACTCTTCCCAGGACTTATTTTCCAACAACTTTCATGAGATAAATAAGAAATAACTTTCATTTTTCATTAGATAACTGTTATTTTTGACGAAGTGAAGATTTGCACTTCGTCAAAAAATCCCTGAAATCAAGAATTAATCCCGTCAAATACAAAAAATGAGGGTAGAAATGAGGTTAGATAACTGTTATTTTTGACGAAGTGAAGATTTGCACTTCGTCAAAAAATCCCTGAAATCAAGAATTAATCCCGTCAAATACAAAAAAATGAGGGTAGAAATGAGGTTAGATCTAACCATCTACCCTAAACATTATTTTTGGTCATGGACTTCGTCCTCGCCGCTTTGCGTCTTTATGTTAAAATAAATGGTACCATTAATAATTTCATGACTGTTCTCGTTCATGTCTGATTTACATCCAACGAAAAAGTTTAGAAGAATTTTCTTATTCTTTCTGGCTTATTTTTGTCTTTCCAGTACTCCCGCTCTAATGGACCCAGATGAGTTGGTTTAGATTCTCTCAAGTTCTTAGATGGTATAACATCTTCAACGCCTCCTTCATATCTTACTTTATAAGTGTCATCGTTTATGTTATAGCCAAGTATTTCAATAACCACTCCTCGCTTTGCTTCGTCAATGGTTTCAGCAAGTTTGCCATTACTACTTTCGACTAATTTATGACGAGGATAAAACGCAATAGAGTCGTCGGCAGCTTTTATAAGATATCCATTACCTTGCGTAGAGTCTACTATATAATAATTTCTACTTAACCTTAAACGTTTCTTTGTCAACGGTTTGTCGTCAAGAACTACACGAACTTTTGTACCAGGAATGAGGGTAAATTGTGTTGAATTTCTGATATTTTGTGTTTGACTTCGTTTCTTTTGTATATACTTTTCTTCTTGTTGTTGTGTCATTGAATTTGGTGTATGTCCTGTTGTAGAATGTGTTGAGGAATTATATACTTCGAGAAAATGTTTCATTGTTTCTTCGGTAAAGTCTCGCTCTTGGTTTAAATCTCTGAGAGTCCTTATGAAGCGGTTTATGATGCCGAGTATGTTATGGTTATGGTCTTCAGTAGTGTAGTGAGTTATGTTATGCTTAATGAGAAATTCTGTGATTTCATTGCTGAGGTATGCACTGTCTTGGTCTGATGTTAAAGTACTTGGGTTATGTTCTGCTACAAACTTTTGTAAAACTCTTAACACTTCACGAGTTCCTTTATTTTTCATTGGATATGCATATGCTTTACGAGTGTTAACATTAATGAAGATGAGGAATGGTTTATGTCCTCCTTTTCTGCTTTGAATGAGAGTGTCAAATTGGTATGCGTCAGGAGCGTTGGAGTAAATTGGTAAAAAGTAGTCGTAAGGGTTTATTTTTGTTTGATGTACAACATTTTTGTCAAAGAACCTTTTCACTTCAGCTCTGTTAGTAAATCCCCAACTTTTTGCAGCTTCATTGAACTTCTTAAATGACCTCCATGGATGTTGTTCGAATACTTCTTTCAAGCTCATTTATGTAAAGTTAAATTTAGTAATTTCATGCTGTTCGCTCTTTTGGAGCTCAGGACTTTCAGGCCGTTCTAACCCATGCATAAACGTCATATAAGGTGGCATATAGTCTGCTCCACTTCCTGTTGGATTTGTTGTGAAAGTATGGACATGATTTCCTCCTGGTTCAGTTTGTCGAAAAGTCTTTTTTGCTGAATGGTTATAATCTGGAGATAAAACGTCATTGCCAGCTTTATATTCTGAGTTGTATAATGGATGGTCTCGTAATGAGTGGCTATGGTCGCCAGAAAAGTTTGTCGTTCCTGTATGAGTGTGCGGTGGAAGGTTTGCTTCAGTAATTTTCTTCGAACCTCCTGTTTGCTTTGAAGAGTTCGCACAGTATAAGAATTTATCTACAATCTGCTCCCACATACCAAAACCTAAAACTGTTTCTGGATTTGTTGAATTCATTGACGTATAAATAGAACCTATAGGATATAATGTTTGAAGTATTTCTGTCTTTAATGTTTGAAGCTCTGTTTTGTCTGCTTTCTTATCTAACATTGTTGGTAGTTCATATGCTTCAAAGTTTCTGGCATGATCTTCGATATTCCTGCAACTCTTATCTAAATTGTTAAGAGTATCTTTTACGCTTGTACTTGGATTTTCTAATGGTGCACTTGAACCAAGGTCAAAGTTCAATATTATGTCGTCTGCTCTAACAGTAGTGAAGGATTTATGTGTATGGTTCTTGTCGGCTTTCTTATCTAACATTGTTGGTAGTTCATATGCTTCAAAGTTTCTGGCATGATCTTCGATATTCCTGCAACTCTTATCTAAATTGTTAAGAGTATCTTTTACGCTTGTACTTGGATTTTCTAATGGTGCACTTGAACCAAGGTCAAAGTTCAATATTATGTCGTCTGCTCTAACAGTAGTGAAGGATTTATGTGTATGGTTCTTGTCGGCTTTACTGTCTAAAGAAGTTTGAAGTTCATTTATATCGGAGATATTGTGTTTATGAGATTTCAAAACTTTGTTCGTTGCGTCAAGTTCTTCTTTCTCTGCTTTACTTTTAATAGCATCTTCAAAAGTTATTTTTGCCTTAACTCTTAACATAAATCTTGGTTCAACTAATACACCGTTAACAAAGAAGTATGAAGCATAAATTTCAGCGTTATAACCAAATGTTTGTGGTGCTATACCTGTGTCATACTGTACAGTACAGTGTATGTCATAACCTTTAGCACGAATGAATTTATATCTTCTTTCATTAACATTTTTCGTCTTCACTTCTTCATCCTGTGTTAAATATCCATGATAGTCCGTTATAATCTGTTCATCTGAAGTTATATAATGAACGTGGTTCTTGTCCGCTTTACTATTTAATGTAGCTTGAAGTTCATTTATATCGGAGATATTGTGTTTATGAGATTTCAAAACTTTGTTCATTGCGTCAAGTTCATTTTTGTCCGCTTTACTATTTAATGTAGCTTGAAGTTCATTTATATCGGAGATATTGTGTTTATGTTCTTTATCTGCTTTTTCGGCTAATTTCTCTTCTATCTCATTTATTTCAAGTTCATGCCTACCATCACCTCCTTCAGAAGTATTTTTCTTCAGCTCTTGAAGAACGTCCACTTCGCCATCTTTGGTGTCAATAATGAGACTTTGAGTTAAAACCTTTCCTGTCTTAATGGATGTTTGTAAAACTTCTTCTTCACCGTGTTCGGGGTCATGGTCGTCATCATATCTTGTGAAATCAGAGATGTTGTCATACATTAAGCATATCTGTCTCAAAAGTTCTGCTATTTGAAACTGGAACGAAAGATATACAGAACTTTCATCATCTCCTAAAGTCAAGTCTGCTTTCTTAAGTATTTCTTGAATGTATGCAATGAGAACAGAGTACCTTGGAAAATATTCGAACAATATTTCATTAGCTGTTGGTTTTGGTGGTTCTTCTGGAGTTTCTGTTGTTTCAGTTCCTTCTGTAGGTTCTGTTGGAGTTTCTGCATCTCTTGACTTCAATGCTCTTGCTCTCAAAGACCTAAATGTTAGAGCACCGGGTTTTACAAAGGACTTTATAAATGCTTTAATAGTTCCTGGTAAGTTATTGTTAGCATTAAGTAAGTTCCTTATGCTTCCATCATGTACGTCCATAGCACTATGTAAAAAATCTATACTTTTCTTGTAGTCAGCAATAGACTGACTGTGATTTTTTAAAGATTTGTCACCTTTAAGCCAATCTTCATGCATGTCTGATACTGAGCCAAGAATATCATTTGCTTCCTTTAGTGTATTTTGTGCTTCTCGTAAAGTATCCAATCCCGTACGTGCATTGTTTGCTATACGTCTTACAGTATCTATTTGACTCCTTGTTTCTTGCATCCAACCAGATAAAGTTTTAATAGTATCCGAACCATTTGAAATGAAGTTCAAAGCATTTTTAACGTCATCTAAAACTTCTTCACCAAGTACTGCCCATATCTTTCCGATTTGGTATTGAAGAACTCCATATGAAGCAGCTGTTAAACCAGTATTTATAAGGTTCCATATCCATGATTTAGCAGTTTTTCCATCCTTTCCATCCTTTCCATCCAAACCGTTTTCGCCTTGAGGTCCTTGTATTCCTTGTATTCCTTGTATTCCTTGTGGTCCTTGGTCCGGTGTCACCCTTCTCTCCTTTCAGTTCATCTTTATGTTCGTTATAATATTCTAATGTCATAAGGTGTACATCATTACTGCTACCAGCAACGCCAAGAATTTGTTTCTCATTCATGACTAAATTCTTTAGGCATTTAATGTTGTCGTCAAATCGAAAGCTCTTTAACAATTCAATGAGAACATTCAGTACTTTCACTAATGAGGCATCTACTTGAATTTATATATTGCACCGTTCCATCATTTATGATGGAACCTTGCTTGTTGTAATGAATGGGTCATAAGTGTTAAAAGTATCGAAATCAATGACTTTTTTAGTTTTTCCATCGTCAATGACTAAATCATTGCCTTCAATGGTTAAAGTTGAGTTTTCGTTTACTAGTTCATGTGCTCTTCTTGCTTCATTTGTTTCATACGCATATGCAGCAATAGTCATATTTTAATGAGAATAAAATGTTGTTCTATTTGCAAAGTACAGACCCAAACGAATACGGGACAGTAAAGCTACAAACAAACTTAGGTCTTCAGAATGAAGCGCTTGCTTTCAGAGTTGTTGACTTTAATACTATTGCTTCATTCGTTATAACTGACGAAACAGATTTCATGGAGCTTGAAATAGATGACAAAAGAAGTTTTATAACATTTCCTAACAGAGCAGAGTATAGAATAGATAAAATTGCTGGAGTCATAGATACTCTCATAAATGAAGAAACTATTGACAACATAGATGTCGAACTCTCTTCTGAGGGAACATTGAAGTTCAGTAGCAAGAAAGAGTTCAAGATAACACGAATGAGTCATAGAGTTCAACTTCTTTTAGGAGCATACCATATGACATTTCCTTTGAAAAGTGTTGACAAAACGATTGAGATGAAATCTGTTCCATACGTATGTTATGGTAATTGTTTATACATTGAGTCTAAAATAGCTAATGTCACAGGTATTTCAGGAGTTAATAGTAAAGGTTCAGTAGAATATAAGTCTTTCTGTTATGCAGTCAATTCAATGTTCATTCCAAACGTTCCTGTCATAGCAACTCATTTAGGTAAATGGGTTCGCATTAGTCCTCACAATTTGAAAGATATGCAATTCAGACTAGTTGACTTTCAGGGCGAGCCGGTAGAACTGAAGGCACCAGTGCGAATGACTGTTGAAGTTGACTTTTTAGAAAATATTAAATGCAACAGCTTACAAGAGAACTCAGAGCTAAAAATATAAAGTATGAATGTTATGTATTAGGTCATGAACTTTGGTTGTTGCTGTTTGATGAAACAAATGAGTTAGTTATGTCAGTCAAGAGAACAGAAAAATATTGTGTTAGTGAAAACTGCACCAAGTCAATAAGATTAGGTTTGCATTATGAAGATGAGTTCGATACTGTTGAAGAAGTTTTGGATAGATATTACAAATTGCTTTAATTTACTAAAACATATTTCAAACAAAGTTTATATTCTGTTGAAAGTTTTGTATACTCGTTTGAATATTTATACTTAAACTCAACTCCTGTAGTTCCTGGTGTTTCAATGATGCGGATGTTACCTATTTTCATGAATAGTGGAGTTTGACCACAGCATTCGATTTCAGGGTCGAGATAGTCAATGACACATTGTTTCCCTGTTATTCGTGAGATAACATTTTCAAGGTCCTCCTTTGTTAGAATTATTTGGTTCTTGCTTATAAGATTTGTCAAAAGCTTCTTATCGTCTTTGAGTAAAATTGTTTGGTATAACTGAAGAAGGTAATGGTCTACGTTATCTGAAGCATTTGTTTGAACATTTGTGTAAGGATTGTCGTTGGCTTCTCTTGAAAGAATTTGGTCCAGTGGTGGATACTCTAACTTAACATCTGATGTAGCGTTAGCGTTTGAAGCTGTGTTTAAATTCACGGCGCCATGCTCCAAGACCGAAGGTCCCGACTTAAGTTCTGGTTCTTTTTCTTTCAAACACTCTGAACTATAGTTCTTTATGACAATATTGTTTGTCGTTCGTGAGTCAACATTTGATGTTGGTTCAATTGGAACATTAACGGCACCAGCTAAGATGGATTTGCTTCTCATTTCATATAGAATAAAAACCTTTTATATGTATGAAATGAACAATATACTCGACAAGGGTTTGAATGTAAAGCTAACGAATGAAAATATTGTTGAATTCACTGAGACAGGTGCTGTGTATAAAGATGTAGAACTACTGAACAAAAGAGCTAAGGGAAGAAGCAGGAACATGAACAAAGGGTGGAAGCCTATAAAAATTTATGTCAATGATGGCTCAGGAGGTTCAAACATAAAGTATGCAGAAAGTTATAGAGTTTATGCTCTCAAAGGTGAAAAGCCTTCATTTAAGAACAGCTATTCTAACGCATATCCTCAAAAGCTAACGGATGGGGAAGTGGATGATATGAATGACAGCAAAAATATTAACAGAAATGGCGACAGAGATGCATGGAATTTGTTTACCATCAGTCAATTGAAGGTTAGGCTTTAAAATAATGTTGGTCGTTCCCATGGAATATTTTTGACTTTAATGGTATTAGTCATGATATGAATCTCAAGGTATGAACGAGGAGAGATGAGAGACTTATATGCTTCCCAAATTTCTTCAAAAGGTAATGTTATACCTGACTGTTTCCAAATGAGTTCAATGTCATAACGTGAGAAACCTTGAAAGATAACGAAGTCAGTTATGAGACGTTTTATGTTTAAAGCTAAAAACCTCCATGTTTGCATAAGTATTGCTACAGTTAAATGGTAATGTCTGACTTTAGTAATGATTAGCTAATGGTGAGTCTGGTTTTGACACTAAACCTTTTCCGGCGAAGTCGTCGCAAACGAGCAGAGTGTTTGAAGGATATTTTTTGAAGGGGTATTTTGAAAGTTTTGATAGAATGTAGTTTGTCAGTCGTTTCATATCGTAAACTCCTGAGTACTGACGTAAGTGGTGTTTGTCAATAATTCTTTCCATCTCCTCAGAGGTCTTTTGCATTCCTGACTGTATAAATTCAACGATGGCATAATATTTTCTCTTACGTCGAATGTAACGTTGAAGAAATTTAATGAGTTCACTGTCTGGAACTTTAACGACAGAGGCTTGAACTTTTGACATAAATGTTTTCGCTGTTGAGTCCATAGAGTCTGAAGTTGCTGATATAATGATTTGGTCATAGTAAGAGTCGTTTCCTAAACGTTCTGTTATGAGTATATGACGAATGAGGTTGAATGTCTTTCCTGACCCCATCTTTCCACAATAGAAATAAACGCCATTTGAACAGAACTCATAGTCCTTACTGAAAGGAAGAATGAGAGAACTGTTGAGTTTTCACTGCTTTCATTCATGTCTTCATCTACGTCATGTATTAAATGCTTCATTTTATCTCCATTAAAAATGCAAGTCAGAAATATTCAGAACATAGCACCGAGTCTAACTGACAAGAGTATAAAGATATACTATGAACATGTTATGATGAAACCAACCAAAATTCAAGAAAGTCAGTATACTTATGAATATCCAAGACACTGGGTAGAGTATGTAGGAGGTGAGAAAGCTATTGAAATCAGACAAGTTCGAAGTATTCCAGCAGGAAGAACAATATTATTGAAGAACTTTAATGTTTTGAGATATAATGATGAAACAAAGAAGCAAGATAGTTTTCCTGTTGCTGTGTATGTGAACTTAGATACAGGAGATGACATGAAAGTTTTTAATACAAAGCTTCAAACGGTAGTGAGAGAACAACTGACTGCGGAAGGACATCCATTACCTTCAGAAGTTACCATAGCATATAATTTTGAAACAAACTCAATAGATTTTAAAGTCATCTCTGCAAAGAAGTCAGGTTTTACATTTAATGAAGCAGATGTATATTCGAATGAAAACTTCAAAGCTATTGCATGGTTAGATAATGACGATTGCTTTAAGAAAATCTTTAAATTCAGTGACTCAAAGATGTCAATAGATGACCTTCGTGGAATGTTACCATTGACGTTTACAGTAGAAGGTTCAGCAGGATTGCTTACAAGATTGTCAATTGGTGGTATTTGGTCTCGTGAGAACATTGTTATAAAATCCAGTATAAGTGAATTTGCTGAAGAATCTATATTATGTCTTTCAAACTACATGTATTCGCCGCCGAAGCATTATAGTATAACAAACTTTGTCAGTAAGTTTAACATAAGACTTGTCGAACCTTCTTCAATGAAAGATGTTGTGCTACCTAAAGACGGAAAGGATGGACTCATTATTGAGATGATTTTAATAGCATATTAAATGAGCTTGTTCTTGAAGGTCATTCATGATGAAATAACTGTTGTAGAAGATGTTAGCAATTGTTCAGACATTTTGAAGCGTATAGATGATATAAGAAAGAAGTTAGATAGACCGCAAAGCGGTGAGGGCGAAGCCCGTGAGAACACTTATGTTTCATTGACTTTCTCCAGTAACGAGAACTTTTATGAGATAATATTGAAGAGAGATGATTTTAATATGGTGTAAATGGTAGCTTGGGCAGCTTTAGGCGCAATGGGAACAAAAGCATTAGCATTTGGAGCAAAAGCACTTGGAGCTTATGACGCAGTAAATAAAATGAGTGGAGGAAGGGTTTCGAAGACATTAGATGCAAATAAAGGAAAGATTGGAGGCTGGGTTGCAAAGAAGTTAAGATTAAATAAAATAGGGCTCATAAATAAAGCATCCAATTTGGTTGCGACTGAGTCAGAAAATGCTTTAGGAAAGGACGATGAGTTTGCAAAACACGCAAAAGACTTTAATGACCAGATGCAAGGTGAAACAATGCATTTAAATAGAGTCGATGGAACTAAAGAAAATGTTTCTTCTCCACTAGTAGTTCTTCCGTATGGTCCCTATGGAATGTATGGAAACCCTTACGAAAGACCATTTGACCCATTGACTGGTGGAAGTAACTGGTATCATTACGGCCGAAGAAGAAAGACAGTCAAGTTGGAGACAGACGTGAAGAAAGCAACTAAAAAGAAACCAAGGAAGAGAGTTATAAAGCAATGAGAACGTTTATGTTATGAGAAATTTTTAACGTTAGTTTTATTTTTACTGAAAATTTTTATTTGGATGTAATGACGAAAACTATTGAGATAACAAACTACAACGGTCATGAGTTCAAGAACTTGTTCTTCGTTCCTCGTGAAAATACATTCTATCAGATACGAGGGAGAAAGGGTAAAGTTAGTTTAAGCATTTATGATAGCAAACATAATGGAAGATATATACAAGCATACGATATAGGGTGTCCAAAGGTGTGTTTAGCACAAACCTGAATACTGCGAATAGAAATAAACAAGTTACATATATATAAAGTTTATTTAAATATAATCACCATTGGATTCAATCACGCGTTCGCAGCGATCGATCCAGGCTTGAAAGACACGCTTTAAATCATCATGAGAAAATTGCTCAAATTGCTCTCTTACAAAATTTTCAAGATCATCTGGACTCGCGAATTCGCGTCCTTCAGCTCTCTTTTTTAGCGTGCCGAATAAATAAAAGTCAGAGGGTGCAATATCAGGTGAATAAATTGGGTTTGGAACAACTTTGACATTGTTTTCCACCAAGTAATTCATTACCTTATGACTTTTGTGAACTCTTGAATTATCAAAATGAATTGCAAACTTTTGTTTTTGTTGTTTGGATTTCTCAAACTCATCAGAATTGATAATTTGAGTAAGAACATTGTCAATTAGATACTGAACATTCATCGTATTAGGTTTTTGAAGAATATCAATTGCGATGATGCCATTCACGCCCCAAAAAACCGACAACATCATCATTGGTGTGTCAATTTTTTTCTTCGGGAATGTTTGCGGATTTTCATCCTTCGGGATCCACATGATTTTGGCTTCTGTTGCATATTGAAACCAAGACTCGTCCCCTGTTACTAAAAAGCGAAACTTCTTGGATTGATACGCACCCAATATAGAGAGGAGCTCTTTCGAAGATTGGACTCTAGATTTTTTTGAACTGAATTAAGGTTGTGCGGAACCCAACGTGTATACGCTAGTTTGTAGTTCAAATAATTGTGCAGATAATAACTGACTGTTGTACGTGGTATCTTTGTCATCTCCTCTATCCTTCTGAGTGATGCTCTTGGGTCTTCATCTAGCGCTTGAAGAATTGCTTTGATTTTTCTTTGATCCGGCGATTTTTTGTCAATTTTTATGATGGGCGCCTTTTTGTTCATGAAGTGATACATCCTAACATGATACGTTACAGTGGAATAGCTAGGAGCATCCATACCGAAGCATTTTACCAATGTCTCGTAGACTTTTTTACAGTCTTTGCATTTTTTTGCAAGAGCGAGGATGTTTTCTTTATGATTCATTAAAAAAATGAAAAAAATCCCGCCAAAATTTCCCGCGAAACCGCCTCTTGTCTCAAAATTTATTTTATATCCCGGCATGGCGCCAAAATACAACATACTCATCATATACATATATTCATATTTTTTATTATATATTTATAATCAGCATATATCTCCTTTAATAGTCTCATATAGAGCGCTGTGCTAAACGCACCTTTGGACACCCTATACAAACGGTAAGCGTGTTTCATTAGCTTTGTCAAAACTTACATACATTAATTATGACAGCGACTTTGACTCAGACGATTGGAGCGACAGCAGCGATACTGAAGAATATGAACTATTGTGTGAAGCACAGCAATGGGAAGAGTTGCAATACTTTTGTAAATGAGAACGTTAGTGTGAACGTTAGTGTGTACGTTAGTGAGAACGTTTATTTTTTTCATGCACGTGCATTGTGTCGCGGGGAGTTGCCATGGGCAATGACCTGCGCACAATATATAACGTACAGAGAGGTGAGATGAGGTGGTTTATGTGATAAATACTTTACGTGGCAGAAATAGTTTAAGGTTATTAGAAATATTGCAATTGTGATGTAAAATATACGTTAGCGGTTTTGCAAAGTGTCAGATTGACATATCTTCGGTAAGATGGCGCACAGTGCCACCGTACTGAAGATATGTATACTAACTCTCGAGAAAGTTCAAAAACTTGGGTGCAATCAGTTCTGATTGCACCCAAGTTTTTGAACTTTGTATAAGGAATTGTTGGCTATGATGTACTGATTCATGAATCAGTACATCATAGCCAACAATTCCTTCCCAAACAACCCGAAATTTGTCTGATTCCACACTAATTTTATTAATTTATCTAAACTTTTATCCTCGTCTATAATTTAATCATCAATAATTATCTCTTGTTCTATTTCACTATTATATATATATATTTATATGATTTGATTTAAAAAAAATAAATAAATTAATTAATAAATCATTTACTCAAATATATCAAAAGTTTTATTTTTATATATAAAGATAACTACTTTTAAAAAAAATACCCTATATATTTTTGCCATGTAATCTATTTTTGTCATGTAAACTTGTCAGTTTTGTCAGAAGTGAAGTGAACCAAATTTTCATGCACAACAAAAATAAATAGCCAGAATGGCATGCTTGGGTACTGGAAATTTAATATATCTGCCAAGATTTTAGTGTCAAATTTCATCTAATGGATGTTTGAATTTGAGCGACCAAAATCGTAATAAATAAAATATCCATTTAATGACCTAGCGATGCACATATATTAACAATTGTAAACTATTCAAAAAACTCTGACATTGACCAAAATAAATTATGTAAACGTAGATAAACAACTGTTGCAGACTCGGCAATTCTTAAAATACAAAAAGTCCCTTTCTTACCGATTATTGTTAGGTAATATCTTTACTATCATTTTAGCGACATATTGAAGAGCTATTTTCAAAGATTTCTCTTTTTCATTCACATTTGCATGTGTATTTTCTGACGAATTTTAAACAATAAGAATATGCTTATGCAGTTATCCACTATGTAAATCTGATTTAGATTTGAAACTAAATAAGAATGATAGAATGCTTCTGTGTATGTGTGGCGTGAGTTAGCATCAGGTGGTTGCGTGATAGAATGCTTCTGTGTATGTGTGGCGTGAGTTAGCATCGGGTGGTTGCGTGATAGAATGCTTCTGTGTATGTGTGGCGTGAGTTAGCATCGGGTGGTTGCGTGATAGAATGCTTCTGTGTATGTGTGGCGTGAGTTAGCATCGGGTGGTTGCGTGATAGAATGCTTCTGTGTATGTGTGGCGTGAGTTAGCATCGGGTGGTTGCGTGATAGAATGCTTCTGTGTATGTGTGGCGTGAGTTAGCATCGGGTGGTTGCGTGATAGAATGCTTCTGTGTATGTGTGGCGTGAGTTAGCATCGGGTGGTTGCGTGATAGAATGCTTCTGTGTATGTGTGGCGTGAGTTAGCATCGGGTGGTTGCGTGATAGAATGCTTCTGTGTATGTGTGGCGTGAGTTAGCATCGGGTGGTTGCGTGATAGAATGCTTCTGTGTATGTGTGGCGTGAGTTAGCATCGGGTGGTTTCATCACAAATTTTAACCCATCCAAATCTTATTAATTATTAAAATTCTTTTACAATTTCTGATGTATTTTTTGTAAACATTTCATATGCAATATTTCTCCTTTTCTTTCCTCAAATCTTCAAATATTAATAACTTTGGATATGAAATTATTTGGATCTTTTATGAATTTTAAATGTCTTTCTTAATATCAAATCGATTAAATTATTAATATTTTCTAAATTATGCCTTAAAATCCAAATATAAAAAATCGTAAATAAAAAAAATATTTTTTATTTTTATTTTGTAAATAATCCGTTTACTAAATGGGACTGTATCATGAAAGTAACAAAAATCATTATTTAACAAGATTTAAAACTGGTGCAACGAAATGCACATTGATTTTGTAGTGTAACAAAGAGAGATTTATTGTAAAAAGTACAAAATAGTATATTTATTATCGTGATTAGCGTAGAAATGTATGAGTTTGGGACGGATTTCTGGTGCATTCATAACTAAAGTGATACATTGTCTGGAGCAAGTTCAGATCTTTAACTTATGGCTTTTTTGGTGCTAACTCACCCAATTTAAGTGCACTAGAGGGGATTTTGTCTGTAATGAGCATGCACCTTGAGTTGTTGCTTGGTCCGTGTACGAAAGATAGTAATTTAATACTATACTCGATTAAATGTGAATTTCTAATTTTGAATTTGCGTTTTTTCCTGAAAATAGTTACAATATATGAAAGAGTTGGCAAAACTAGAGGACACGTCTTTAAGGGTTTGGCTCTTGCTTCATGTTAATATGCCGAAACTAAAATAAACGTATATTGGGGGTCGAAAATTGAGAGCTCATATCTTTAAGTGATTGTTTCATTGAGCATGTTCGATGGTTTTAAGACATCATTTAATAAGCTCAAGATGAGAAAAACAACCGTGACTAAAATATGGCATAAAAATCGTCTTTTTCATTCAAGATATTGTGGCAAAGAATCAAAACATAAAAAATTAGCAATAACTATCTAAGAATCATTACTTCCTCACATAGTAAAATTCCTGCTTTACTATTATTTCTCCCTATTGTAGAATTTGAAAATTTCATATATCTAAATTCTTGATCTTAAGGGGAAGAATCTATTATGTTTCGCATATTTTCCACATGGATATGAATTATACATAACTAATTCTTTCCAATCTTGAATAAAATATGATAGTGAAGAAATTTGAAGGAAACCGCTTCAATTTCTATGGCGACATTGATTCTTCCTGCACATGTTCGCTCAGCGATGAAATCAGTCGCTCAAGTTGCTGCTGAAGTTCCAATTCATAAAGTTTTTGAGCAAGCTATCCTATTTCTTTTTGGTGAAATTGAACAGACCGAAATTAAGACATATGCTCGAGAGGCTGGAGTTCAGTTCCCAACATACCAAGAGTCTATTGATGCACTCGCTTGGATAGTTTGTGAAGCTGTTCGCACAAAATGCACAACAGACAATTTTAGAGAATTTATTGCAGAAATCGATTTCTTAAATACAAAACAAGTTCTTGCAGTATACGAAAAAGCTATGCAAAGCGTTAAAGAAACATTAGTTGAAAACTCTCCAGATACAGAACACTTCGTTTCCTTAGATTGGCGCTTACAAGTTGAAATTGGACGTCGAGCTCTTAGGTCGATGAGAAGACCACACGTTGTTGTTAATATTAAGACTACAAAGCAAACTGAAACACTTGAAATTACACCACAAGGTTTAGTTGAATTATATACTACTTTTGATGCCGCACTTCAGGCTTGCCGTACTTCTAAGTTTAGAAGAATTCAGCGCTTCATCAAATAAAAATACTTTAGTCATATATAAAAGCGTTCCTATTTTATTTTATAATATAATATGCTCCATATTTTTGTCTACTAATACCATATCAACGAAAAATTTAATTGAACCTAATGTTGCTATTCAAGTCGCTAATAAATGATAACTATTGAAATTCCATCAAAAAATATTGGAAAACGGATTGATAACAATCAAACAATTCATTCTTATTGCTATCTCGCGATTATCCTATCCAAAGAAACGATATATCTACATAAAACGAATTCAAAATCTATCAAATTCTGGTTATAGTGGTCCATATTTTAAGGATATTCATTTTATCTGAATTACATGTAATCGTTTAATTCCCAACTATTCCTTTTTGATCTTTCAAAATCTGCATGATTAACTTATAAAGTATCATATTGAAACTTCGAAATCCAAATGTTCATTATTTAATCTATTAGTGATTTAGAAAATAAGCACTTTTACCTTTCGACTGATAAATCGAAAATTTTTTTAGAATCTTTCTTTTCTCGTTAAAATTTATCATTTATGTTCCCGATTGTTGATTTCGGAGACCGAAATAGGAGGCGACAAAAGCAAAACGGAAATGCTACATCTCCACCAACATCAGAGAGAAAGAAAAGAAGAAGATTAACACTTGATGACGAACCAAAAAAGCCATTTTTAATAGGTAATGATGATGATTATTCATCAGATCCTCAACCAGATCCAAATATTATTACAATTTCTTCAGCAAGAACTCAAGATATGACTTCAGATGAAGAATCAGAATCAGACCAGCCTATTGAAAACAAAGAAACATGGGTTGCACGAAATGGTTCAAAAACAAATACAATGAGGACAAAAATTACGGATGAAAATAAAAATGAGGAATCCTCACCAAAAAAGAAGCGAGTAGTAAGAAGAAAAAGGATGAGCCATAGCGAGGTACTTGAAAACCATATAACTGAGCCAAACGAAAAACCTTCGAATCTTGAAATAAAACAACCCGAAAATCAGACAATTCAATCGGGTAGACTTGAAGGAAAATCTATTTCTGATGCATTGGCTGAGGCTGGTATAAAAGTACGTAAAGTTCCGGCCGAACCTCAACAAATTGCAAAATTACAAGAATATCAACCAAATATTGAGCGTCCACCGATAGCAATGCAATCGTATACAGTTATCCGACATAAAGGAGCTTTTGGAAAAATTTCATTTAATTTCCTTAATGAAGATAAATTAATTTACCTAACAGAGCTTTCCAAAGATGAAGAATCCGATATTTTTATAATAACTCAAAAAGCACCAATTGATAAACAAAATCCAACATATCAAGGCTTTGTACGTGTTTCTGGCAGTCGAAAACGATTTTCGTTAATCACAAAATATATGAAACCTCATGATGATCGAGAAGGCGCACTTTTAGGTTGCTGTTTTACAAAAAATGGTGCAAATCTACGACATGTTTGCGTTGTTGCTCCTTTAACTTTAATGCCATATTATCCTGTTTCAAAGAGAACAGAGCTTTCACATTTAGCGAAATCACCAGAAAGACTTTCTAGTTTCCTTTATTATGAGACAGATCAAAGAAATGACGATACTTTTGACTCGGATCTTGTAGAATCTTCAATAAAGAACTTCATAATTAAGAGTTCTAAAGGTGATGTCATCTACAGACTCTATAAAGCATCAAAAGATCAGTATAATGTTACAAGTAGTGCTCCGTTCAACACTTTAATGGCTTTTGCTATAGCAATCGCCATGATATTTTCCAAAAAGTAATATGTGTTTGTTGTTTATAAATATATTTGATATATTAGTAATTATTTCCATTACATTTTATTTTTGAACTTGAAATTTAAACATTTTCCTACAGAGTAAAGGTTTTTATACAAATGGAAGACAATATAATTAAGTTTATGCATAATATAGAGCTTTATAAAAATCTATTTCCAAATCTGTTGTAAGTAATGAGTTATTTAAAGAAATATTCCGGTGATACAGTTTCATGTCTGAGTTAATGATTATCATTGTAAAGCGTTGTAAGATCGTTTTCAAATACTCGATTTCTAACAAATATCGAAAATTAAGATATAGTGTAGCTCAGTATGAAGTTTCTTACGTCTTATACTATAAGAATATTCATGATTAATTACTGGCTTTCCAAAATGTAGTCTGGCAAACTATAAAATCTTGACAGTTTATTAATAATAAACTATCATGTGATTAGGAAATATATCCAGATATCAACCCATAAAATTTGGCAAAATTCTTTCAAAATTCTGACAAGGCCGATATTTCTTTCAAATAATATCCGCTTTTCAAATAAAATATGGACATTATATGCATATCAGTAGAATAATGATTTTTTATAAAAATCTGACATATACGACCTCGTATTTTTTATAGAGTTTCAGAAGGATTTATAAGCAAATATGGAAGTTACTGATAAAAATGGTAGCTCCAAAAGTAATGTTTCAAGACGAAAGACACCTAAACAGCGAAGATCAAGCTTTGATATTGTTGCATTAGGGGCTGATTTGTTTGATAATTTAGCATCATCATCACTAGCATCTAAGTCTTCAGGAAGTCTAGCTCAGGACATACAAGCAATTGCCAAATATCAAAAATATATTGTCACGAATTCAGAATCTGTAAAATTTACCTCTCTTAATAAGGCAACAATTGATTTAGTCACACATAAAAGTGCGATCAATTCAATGATTGTTGAATATGATGAAATAAGATCTAATTTTATCTCAGACTTAGTTGAAGTCAAGACTTTTATTGACAAGCACACAGACTACTATCCTTATTCTCTGAGAAGACGCTTAAGACGTCAAATTGCCACAAGACTTACAACTATTGAATTACTTGATGTTTTAATCGCAAATTACCAACAAAGCGGCATCGAAATAGACTATTTTGTTGAACATTTAATGTCATTACCTCAACCAGTTTATATTAATGTTACAGATTACATTGAAGATTTTGACTTTTCAAAACAATCAAAACATGATGTAGATGTAGCTCTTCGATACATTGGACAGCTTAAGTTCCCAGATGTAACACGCATTAAGAAGAAATCCCCATTCCATCTCATTGATTCTTTTGAAGGCCAAATCTTCAGAAGAATTAAAGAAAATTTCAGAGGATTAACTGCCGATGATTCAGCTTTCATCATCAAAAATCTCTCTAAAAACTCAACATACAATATTGCAGAGGAAGTTTTCTTCCAACGAGCTTGGTTGATCAAAGAATTCCCATGGTCACTCGAACCATATCTCCTTCCAGATATGTCACGCGTTTTGGTTAAATCGTTTGCTCCTTCGTTCCTCAGCCAGAAATATTTAAATATGACATTCGCAGAGTTTTCACAAGACAGAGAAGGACCTTATTACGGTTTGATCCAAGATATCACAGGCATCATTTTCGAAATCAATCCATTTAACATCGCCAGAGTTTTGTGGAAAATGATGAATGATATTCCAAACGTAATCAGAGAAATGAATCATATCACAAGCAAAGACTTCGTTGTAGATTTCGATCAACTCTTTTCTACACTCATTATTCTGGTTTGCGCAACTTGCATTCCAGTTATCACAAAATACATCGCTTTTGCAGCTGCTTATCGCGCCGCCGCAGAGTATGATCCTCAATTGTCATATGCGATGGGACATTTGGAAGGATTATATTATCATTTGAAGAATATTAAGAGCAAAGATTTAATTTCACATGGAGCAACAGATGTTTCACCACAAAAGAAGAAGCAGCAAGAATCAGAAATCTTGAAGATTCTATTTGAAGAAACTCCTGTTTGAAAATAATATTACACTTATATTATTTTTATGCGTAAATGTTATTTTATATAAAAATCGATATGAGAATCTATTTTTCTGTTCTAAGAAACGACTATGATGAAAAATTTGGCAGAATAATTTTTGCGAAAGTTCCTTTACCGGATTGAGTGATCATCATTGAACATTATCGTTAATAATTACATAGAAAACGAGAATAACTTACATGAAAGCGCGAATCAAACCAATGAATGAATAGAAAAATAAAAATCAAGATTCTGATGCGTATAAATTGTATGACAAGCTTGATGTAGGTTATTGAATTGAATGACTAATTAAACAAGCGGCTTCTCGATAAAATAGTGCTTGTTTCAGCAGATGTGAAGTTAGATAAGATTTTGAGGCGCCGATGAAAATTATTGAGAAGTTATTTGACCACACATAAAACTTGTATTTTGAAATCCGATTTTCATAATACAAAGGGAAAATAAATTGTTTATGCCATACAAAATTTGAAGAAGCGATCACTTAGGAGAAATTCATTTTTATTATTCATTATTTCTTAAAATAACTTCTGGATAATTAAAAATTCAATTAGCTTATTTTCAATGTATTCATCTCACTACCGTATCAAATTGAACGCAAAAAGTTTGCATAATTCTAATTTATGATATATCTAATATTCAGATATTGATTAAATCATTTTCCAAATAACTAAAAAAATGAGGATGAAATGACAGGTTCATTATTTATAGCATCATGAACATTTTCTAATCTCAAAATTTCGGGATACTCCAAAAACAATATTGAGTAGCGCTCGACCACAGTTACAAGAAAAATTGAAAAGAAAATTGAGAACTCTTTCGAACACATATTTTTTCTTCACTTTCACAGATGAGAACATTCTTCGTCGGTGGTAACTGGAAGGCTAATCCAAAGACAGTCCAAGAGGCTGAGAAGCTTGTCGAAATGCTCAACGGCGCTAAGGTTGAGGGCAACGTCGAAGTTGTTGTTGCTGCTCCATTCGTTTTCCTCCCAACACTCCAGCAGAAGCTCCGCAAGGACTGGAAGGTCAGCGCTGAGAACGTCTTCACAAAGCCAAACGGTGCTTTCACAGGTGAAGTTACAGTCCCAATGATCAAGTCATTCGGCATCGAGTGGACAATCCTCGGCCACTCCGAGCGCCGTGACATCCTCAAGGAAGATGATGAATTCCTTGCTGCCAAGGCCAAGTTCGCTCTTGAGAACGGCATGAAGATCATCTACTGCTGCGGTGAGCACCTTTCTGAACGCGAAGCCGGCAAGGCCTCCGAGTTCGTCTCTGCTCAGATCGAGAAGATGATCCCAGCTATCCCAGCCGGCAAGTGGGACGATGTTGTCATCGCTTACGAACCAATCTGGGCTATCGGCACAGGCAAGGTTGCTTCCACACAGGATGCTCAGGAAATGTGCAAGGTTATCCGTGACATCCTTGCTGCTAAGGTTGGCGCTGATATCGCTAACAAGGTCCGCATTCTCTACGGCGGTTCCGTCAAGCCAAACAACTGCAACGAGCTCGCTGCCTGCCCAGATGTCGATGGCTTCCTCGTTGGTGGTGCTTCCCTCGAAGCCGGCTTCATCAACATTGTCAACTCCAATGTCCACTCCAAGTAAATCTAGCTAATCTTTTCTCTTTTTATAAATTTACAACTTTTTTTAAAACTTTTGAAAACAAATCAAATTTGATTTTAACTTTATAAATGATTTGATCAGATTCAATCATTCGCATCTACCTTATACATTTTCTAATCATTTTGCTTGAAGTGTTTGATGAGTGCCCTACCAAGGATATTTTACGAAGGAGGCTCATGGCTTGTATGGACAGCAGGAGAAGTGGAAGAACTAAAGAAAAATGCAAAAGTGATGGGAGAAGCATCAATGACATCTCCGTGGTATAATCATCAAAATAAATATCTGGGATTACCTTTTGAATTTTCTGAATATGAAGTTCTCTGGTGTGCACAGAACAACCTATGCAGATTGGTTAAACCAATATTTAAAGAAAAGATAGTACCAATTGAAAATTCTGCTTATAAATTTGATACAATCATTCAAGCTCACAAAGAAGATGATTTTGATGAAGAAGATGCCGAATTCCCAACTCCTCCTCTATTCAAATATCAAGTTTTTTGTGATTTGAAAAAATATGGTTACACTATTGGAGATGGCTCACATTACACATGTGATTTTGCAGTTTATAAGAATGATGCATGGAACTCTCATTCCTCTGCATTAGTTTGGTGTCAAGAAAATGATTTCGACACAAGGAATCTTATTTCATGGGTAAGAATTGCAGATGGTGCTAAAAAATATGGAATCGTTGCAATAAATGCAGATAACAAGATCAAATACATTAAATTTAATCGATATTTACAAAGATTCCCATCTGATCAAAAAAAAGACACATGATATAGAGATTTGACAATAGATATGTACACATGCTGCAAATCCTGCAAAAAATGTAAAGACATCATTACTTCTTCAAATCAAATGATTGGAATGAGAAGTCTTAGAAGAATTCATTTATTTTTCAATCAGGTAGCCAGTATTCTACTGATTACTATAATTTATCGTTCATTTTCAACAAATTTGTTCCTTATTGAATTAATTTTGAAAATATTTCGAATAAATTTCGATTAAATCAGATTTACAGTATCCATGTATATTGATTTTTATAATTTCTGAAAGAAATCATTTGATTTGGAACCACAAATTTCATCGTTTTTGAAAAGTGACAAATGATTATCTTATTAGGTTTATTAGCGGCTACATATTGGCCGACTCCAACCATATCATGGCCACCACCTCCTAATATTCCAGAATGGCCTACAGCAACTCAATCATGGATTGATCCATATACAGATGATCCAGATCCAGAACCAACAAAGCATTCTTTAACAAAAGGAGAACTAGCAGCAATTATTTCATGTAGTATTATCGGTGTTATAGTTATTGCAGTCGCAGCATTCTTTATTATTCGAAATGTTTATTACAAGAAAATTGTCGAGAGCGCTTTGTGCCCTGACCCGCTTGTATAGAGATAAGTTATATGAAATTTTTATAAATGATATCTATTTACGTCAATATTTTTTTATTGAAATTAAATAAAGTATATAATTCACATTCATTATATCTATTTTTCTTGAATCGAGCATTAGTAAACCTAATAACACATGCCAAAATCCATTGAAATGTATCAAATATAATATGTTGAAATATGGCGCCAATTCCTATATAATATGCTAACACTAACTAAAAATAGCATGTATTCCAGTAAAACATGTTAGTATTGCTTCCAATTTGAGAATTTTTTGCAACCGGAGAAAAAATGGAAAGGAAATTTCAAAGATGTCAAATTTATAACCTCATATCCATTTTACTTCCAAAATTATTGTTTTGATTAGTATTAAAACATATCTTCAGTTCAAATGTCAAATCTTCTCAATTTTTTTTATCATCAAAAAAATAATTTTTTTCTAAAATGACATCGCAGCTTTATGATAAAGCCCACATATTGCTGCAGCATATTGATTTGCTTTTAGCTAAGGCTGAATCAATCAGAATGTTTGTCTTTCCGAAATCAACGCTTTCACAAGCTTTGCTTTCAAGTGATGGCAAAAAGGCAATGGAATCTATTGAATCTCTTATTAAGGCAAAAGAGCTCAATCGCAACAAACTCTCAAAAATCGCACAGAAGTTCATTTCAGAACAAGAAGATAAAATTATGCAAATAGCTCATGCAATGGATTACATTAAAACATGGTGCACATCAGCTCACACTGTCTTGTTTGCCATGGCAGAGAACTCAGTTGATTTCAATCTTCGCTGGAATAACTTATTTACTACAACTTTTCTCAGACTTTTCGTTGCTTTCACAAAAGCAACCCTTTTCATTTACATGCTTCCAACCGTTAAGCTTGCTGTTTACGCCGCTCCTTACTGCCCTTCGTTTAATCGCTCAGAATTTTCAAATGATATTTTGGATGTCAAAAACTTCATTGCAAAAGTTTCTCGCAATCCATTCGAAATGCTTATCCCACGAGCAGAAGCTGCAAACAAATATGACTTTGCAATTCGTCTTGGCCAGCTTTTATCTCAGACAGGCCCATATTTAATCCAAGCTCTTGGTCAATGGCCTCTCACTAACTGGGAAAAGTTCAATCCATTTACGAAAACCCCTACAAATTCAACATCTACCTATTTAGACTTAGAACATCTTTGTCTTGCTTATATCGAGCTTATTCGTGAGTCCACAATGTTCTTCTGTCTTTCATTCCCAACGTTTGTCAAGGAAAACAAGCATTTCAACGCAATTATGATTGCAGTTTGTTCAGAAACGCCATCTGTCTATCTGACACGCCAATTCTCAGTTCCTATCAAAGAGTTATTCGATACATACGACAAGGAATTCAAGAAATATCCTTCCGAGACGAGAATCATTATTCAAAGATATCTTAAGCTTAAACTCAGCGTTACTCATTCCAAGCGTATCTCCACCATCATCCGTCTCATTGACGATATGACGAACATGGCATCTTACAATCCAAACTACGTTTCCCAATTTTTACATGATTTCATTTCTCTTTCTGGATTTGCCTATTACGAACTTGATTGTATTCTATCATCCAATGCATTCCAAGCAGACGCATTGAATCTGATCAATACATTGGTCCGTACGGCCAAAGTTTTCTCGAAGAACGAAATGATCATTTCCAGAACATTCGCATACAACATTGCGACACTTGATGCAAGTTTCCTTAATGCTCTAGCCACAAATGCATCAATTTCCGGTGCTGATTGGCAGAATTATTTCATTGAAGTTGTGAAACAGTTCACACAGACATTAGGAGTTATTGATCTTGAACAGATTGATAAAGGCACTCTATACGATGTCACGCCATTCCTTATTACTCATGGTCGTGTTACAACGTATTTCAATTCATTGAAAACGAAAGAAAAAGCATCACATCTTCAAAACATCATGGAGCATCTTGAAACAATCAGATTGCACATGAATTTCATGATGGATCCTGTCATGGCGTTCATGAAATACTGTCCAATACACACTTTATGGCGCCATGTAACTTATTTAGCTGATATTGCATTAGCAGCAAATTCCCAATCAGATGGAGTTGGTTCTATCATGACATTATTCCCTTATTTCAATTTAGATGCGATTGCTTTGTATCAATCACCAGGAGAACTCCAGAGAATACAATCCCAATTGCAGAACATCAGAGCATCAATTCTTAAGCGCATATATTTACAGTTGAATGAATATATCTCTAAAGGATCAAAATACCAAGACATCACAAAACAAAATCAGTTCGAACACATTTTCAATCCTGTCAATTTCATTATTAACCAGAAATGTGATTACAGGAAAGAGAATCTCTACAAAGAACCCATTTGGAAATTGAGATCAATGATGTTGAACATGCCAGGCACATTTACATTTGCAAACCAAGAAGTAAAATGTGCAGGATACATCGGAGAAGCAGTAACAAATTGTATTGCAACAATTTTGTTTAATGAGCCTATTTTGGATCCACAATGGGTTGATTCATCTTTCTCTGCTGCTACACAATTCATGTGGCCTTTGTTTAGTTTGATTGGTGCTCCATTTACATTGAAGATTCTTCAATGCAGATTTGAACATTCATGCAATGAAAATCAAATCAATTTCTTGGAGCAGGTTTCGAACTTAAACACAAAATTCCAAGTTCACGTTCAAACACCACAAGAATTGGCAAAAACAAGAGGAACAACACAATTAATCCAAATTTTCCAGAAGTACGTGTTAGAATTTCTTGAAAATGATGCGAATAAATGCAAATACTTCCCTTACTCAAGATCATACGAGAATCCAAAGGACACACAATCTCCTTCTTTCTTCTCTTATTCATCTTTGTATTCGTTAGTCAAAAACCTTGGTCCACAAGCTGGATTTTCCATTGATTGGATATTAATCACGCATGCAACAGATGTAATCTTGAAATTGTATAAGATTTTCACGGATAGTTCAACAGAAATATCCAATCTCTTCGGTGATTACCAGAAAGGAGGAAACCAATGGGTTAAATACTCCGCGCAATCACGTATTGAAAATGTTGGCCGCTTGTTAATTAATCTCGGCGCAACATGTCAGATTCGAAAATTATTGAGAGATGCAATTCATGATTACGCAGAACAGGCATTGCCTGGATTGAGTGCATTACTTGCTGCAGGAATTAATCGTATCCAAGGTGCTCCAAATGAAAGAGAATCTTTGATTATTGAAATCCTTTCAGGAAAACCTAATTTCCATTATGTAATGACTGCATTAGATAAAGCAGGATTGATTAAGACAACGGATTTGATGTCTTTCTTCTTCTTCCTCGGTTTATCAATTGCTCATCCTAAATGGAAGACAATTTTATATGATCCAGAAACAGAATACATATCAAATAATTTCCATTTGTATCCTGTTGGCTTGGATTGTCTTCTCTCTGTCATTCCATCACTTTCTGCTTCATCTGACCAAAGAGATATAATTAATGGAATGTCTCTTTTCTTCGATGTCACTTCTAAAGTTGTTGTTTCAATGAGAAGTGATGTTACACAGTCTGCTGCTTCTATATCTGCTTTCATCATTACTATTGATCTCTTCCCAAGAATGATCAAATCTTTGGAATACGGAAGAATTACAAAGAACTTCCCGCCATCAATTGTTTCTGAAGCTTATAGAAACGCAGCTGATTATAACTACCATAGCTTGGTCAAGGCTAATTTCACTGCTAAGAATGGCAAGAAAGGAAAGAGGAAATCCAAGAAATAATTTCATTTTCTTATTTTATTTATATAATAAAATTTTTATTCTCGAATTCTTTTTCCTATATAATTTTTCAATAATATCAACTCAGTTAACTGAGTTTCTATATGTAATTTTGACTTAAACCCTAAAGATGATATTTGTTATAAAATTTTACATATTTTCTTTGAGATAATGCTGATCTTTATTGCCTTATGTACCATTCCATATTAAGTTATAAATGTTTCAAGCATTTTTAATGATATGGGTTGGTTTTTATTCTACTTGAGTTTCTCAAGTGCACATGAAAACATAACGTCTTTCGAGCTTATCAAGAATACATCGAAATATGCATACGTTACATCAATAAATTCTCTTTCATACAAAGATATAAATATTATTCAAGCACTCACTCTAGGATTCACACTCAAAAAATACTCACCAGATATAGACCGAGTCCTATTAATACCATATAAGATGAAATTACGTAAAAATGACAAGGATTCACTACTTAAAGTTTATACATACATATTGCGTATGCCATTCATTACACCACACTGCCAAAAAGGAGGACAGTACCTATATGAAGGCAAGAATTTCTTCTTTTTGAACGCGTGGACACTTACGCATTATCACAAAATTTTATTAGTACCTTTATATTCATTCTACAGAAAAGATCCGTCTTCCTTTTTCAAAAATAGAGTACCAGCAGCGCCACCTCACTACAAACTCTGGAGTATGAGCCATATGGGTCCATTTCCTAATATTGAGAACCTAATGTTCAAGCCATCAACAGGTGATTTGGAAAAGATAGAAGAAACATATTGCCAACTTTATACAGATAATTTTTTAAGATACCAGAAAAGACCTCTGACTGATCTAATTTTAACAACAATTATTACATTTTATAACTCATCAATCATATCTGTTCCATTTTGGTATCAATTTATATATCCAGGTACCAGGATTGATGAAAAAACAAAATTTATGAATGTAAATGATCCAAGAATCATCTCAGTGAAGTACGAAGAACCGAATACGCCATGGAGTAATCCATTTTCCCTTATTAGAGAAGAATGGTACAAGCTAGTTAACGAAATGTATAACGAATTAAATAATGAAAACTTTGTACCAATAGTTCTCACCGAAATCCAAGATACTTACAGGCATGATGATCATCCAGCCATATTGGATACAAATGATCTCGTTTTGACAAGTTATATTGAATTTTATTCACGACCAAAATTTCAAATTTTTATCCAATGCATATTGATATTCCTAATATCAGTATTTTGCGTGTATTTCTCTCTTTGTTTCCTCGAAATCGACATGTATGCACCAATTATTATAATAGATAACGTGAATTATGATACTAACATTAAGAAGCAAGATTAGAGTGCTGTAATTTTAGTATAATTTATGTTATCATCCTATATTATTTGTTTGTTATATAAAAAATCAAATATCATCAAAAATTATAATATTCAAGTTTTTAATGATCGCATAAGCCGGCATTTATAAAGTATTATTCAATTTTCAACAATATTTTAGATAATTTCTTTGATAATAATCGATCTCACTAACGAACTCATTTATACACAATTTCTCTGAATTGTTTTGTTGAAGTATTATTCTCACAGTTTAAAAAGAAGTCATGAGGAATAATTAAAACTATTTTTTATGATAATGAGATTAAAACATACAATGTTTCAGCCGAAAATGAATGTAGTGAATAATATATGTTATTAGAGCATATGAGTGAACGCTCAATTAATGCAATACTTCCAGTTCCAAATCCTCGATGCTCAGAAAATTCAGTCACTGCAGTCCAAATACTATAATTTACAACGCCATCAATTCCTCCAGAACCACCTCCACCACCGCTCCCTGTAGATGGAGAGGCTATTTTGTAGTTCCCACCTCCGAACTTTCCTCCACCCCCACTCCCGTACCAATCTCCGTAACCTATTCCTTTGGTGCCACATCTCTCAAATTGAGTCGCTTCACATCCATCTTGAGTTCCGATAGCAGCCCTTCCAGTAGAATCCATTCCACCTTTCAGGCCACCACCTTTTCCACCATGATGGATGAGTCCATTTCCAAAAGAGCCCCCACCGCCGCCAGCAATCAAAATACGGCTATCAAAGCTTTCATTCCAGGGGTCACCAGATGTTCGGAAGTCAGACGCGCCACCGCCGCAACCGTCTGCAAAATTCCGGCCTCCTGCGCCGCCGTTATATGTCGGATTAAAATAGTTAGAAGTGTTTGCGGTACCTCCAAGGTGTAGGTAAAGAGTTTTTGGATTAGTTACGATAAGAACACCAGCAGAATGGCCGTCAGTTCCACCTTCGACATCTTCTTGACGCCCATTAGTTACATTGCAGCCTTGGGCGCCCCAAACTTCAAGAAGATATTTGCCTGGAGAAAGGTGGATCTCATATGGATAACAATCGATTGGACTAGTGCAAGGGTATTCAAAGAATACTTTTCGCGGGTTAGAAAGTATCTCATAGACTTTTGAACTTTTTGCATTCGATACTTTTACAAATCTATTGAAGAAATAAAGGACTTCATTTGACATTTAGTTGAGCGATTTCCCGAGGATTTCTATGGTATTTAATCTTGTAACGAGGTTTATTCGGATTCATAACAAAGAAGAAATGTTGCTCCGTATGGCAAATTGATTTCTCCATAAAATTGATAGAGAACTCCATTGGAATGCATTCAAAATTATGACACTTTTAGATATTCACCTTTTTCAAAAATATGTGTAAAAAGAATTATCCATGAGTGCTATGATTTTTTATTATCATGACTTCAAAATCTAAAAATACCCTCAATTTTTTACTTTTGCAACTCAATATGGAGAAATTTTTTCAAATTATAGAACTATTTGAAATGCAATAGAGAACAATATAAAAAAAAAAAAAAAGGTAGTGGGGCTTCCAGGCACTTCGTGCCTTCTAGCCCCGAAGATGTTTAGTATAAATGAAGTTCTTATATACGGGTCTTCCAGGAGCTTTTCACAAATTATATATGTTTTCATGTTTTGTCAAGACTTCTTCGTAAATGTTTTGTCAAGACTTCTTCGTAAATGTTTTGTCAAGACTTCTTCGTAAATGTTTTGTCAAGACTTCTTCGTAAATGTTTTGTCAAGACTTCTTCGTAAATGTTTTGTCAAGACTTCTTCGTAATGAGCGTAAATGACCCAAAAATAATGTTTATGTTAGAATGTTAGATCTAACACGTTTTCTAACATGTTTTCTAACATCGTAGAAAACTCATGAATTTCTTCGTAAATGTTTTGTCAAGACTTCTTCATCGTAAATGTTTTTAACTTCACTTAAAATGCCACGTAAGCTACGTAAGAATATACGTAAGAGGAAGAGAGCATTGAAACATCCAATAGTAAAACTAACACCACAACAACAGTTGCAACAACAAATGCTGAATGACCCCACTATGTTGCAACAAATGTCAAGCAATCCTATGCTTTTAAACCGAGTTCTTGGTGCACAGAGTGGAGGTTTAAGAGCGGCACTTTTAGCGAAAATGGCAGGCTATGGTGGAGCTGCAGACGGAACAGCCTATAACCCTCAAAGTCAAATGAATTTGAGTTCACTCAAAAATCAAATAGCAGATGTCAAAAAGTCAAACATAGACATACAGAAGCAAATAAGTGAAAACGAAAAGAAACTAGAATATGACAGACACACAAAGAAACTCAATGAGTTAAACGTAGAGAAAAAGAAGAAAGAAGAACAACTGAAAGAACTAAGTACAGAGGAATATACGAAAAAAGTGTCAGAAAAAGCAGCAGAAGTAGCAAAAATGGAACAAGATGTTATAAATTTGAAAAACCATACTACTCAATATAAAGTACTGAAAGATGAAGAAATAAAACAAAAAGCCCTGAAGACATATATGGATAGCGATGAGTATAAAAAAGAAGTTGAAGCAAATGTAAAGGCAGAAAAACTTTTACAGTTGCAAAACCAAACCGTACAGTATGAAAACTTAGCACAAGAAAGTAAAAATAACGACGCAGCCATGCAAAAGGCAATGAAAAGCGCAGAATATATAAAAGCTAACAATGACTGGTTAGATGCCCAAGCCAACGCTAAAGCAGCCCAGCTCTATAGGGTCAATAAGGACAAAAATACAAGCGGATGAAGATAGTTCAAATGAAGCTTTAACAAATGCTGACTTTAAGAACGCTTTCGAAGCTCTTCATAGTAAGGTGAAACAAGTGAACGACTTCTCATCTGGAAAGAAACTGAAGTCTGAAGGTTTCGACAAAGAGTTAAAAGAAGTAGCACAAAATATGACGAAAATAACAGATGCAGCAACGAGACAGGCAGTTCAAAGTGCCTATGACGCCGTTAGAGCAACTGTTGTGAAAAGTCAAGAAAAAGAGTTACAACAGACCAAAACAGACCTAGTAAATGCTTTCTTAAAAACGAAAAGTCAGGTAGGACATTACGCTGCAGATGGAACATATGTGCCAGCTGGTGGAACTTATATACCACCAAACCCTCCAAGAGAAGCACCTGCACCAGGACTACCTAACACATTTACATCGTCACATGGACATAGACACAGGCATGCACCAAAACCAACACAACAACCAACAGTTCAAAATCCAGCACAACAACAACAACAACCAACACAACAACCAACAGTTCAAAACACTGCACCACAACCAACAGTTCAAAACACTGCACCACAACCAACAGTTCAAAACACTGCACCACAACAACCACAAACAGAGCAAGGACATAAAAGAAGTAGGAACAAGAATTCTTAAAAATGCTTAAGGAAGACTATGGTTACCAGATACTCTTGACTTTAGTGACAGATATAAAGAAGCTATTAGAAAGTTCAAGGAAGGAAATACTGACCCGAACCTATTTAGCTTTATGGTTCAGCACCAAATGGGATATAATTTCAAACCTGGAAAATACAAGCTCGCTAAGGGATATGATTTAATAGCATATCATCCAAATGACATGACTGAATTTACTCCGAGATATTTGGTGTCAGAGCTAAATGATAATTCAACTCTCTTCATGAAACGCGTAAAAAATAGAGACGGAACGAAAGAAGAAAGGTTTATGAGTCCGGATGACTTAGATAGGGAACTTTTTAAAAACGGTCTCGGAATATATGAAATGCCAGCAGATGAGGTACAGAAACTCCACAGGAAGAAGTTCAGATACAACCAGACATGGAAGAAATAGTTCAGCAACAACAGCTAGAAGAGCCTGAAGGAAACGAACAAGTCCTCCTTTGGAAACTAACTTCACAGAACTAGATGAAGATTTGGAACAGCCGAAAAATCTTGACCCTCAACAAGAGTATGCGGAGAATATGGAATATTTCCAAGAGTCTAAAAAAAATTCTGACATAGTAGAAGAATATCGAAAAATGTTTGCCGACATACAAAAGACTCCAACACCAGATGAAAATATTCAGCATAGAATGGAAGTACTGAAAGAAAATGTACACAAATACAACAACCCTTTTTACTTACGAGCATTTAACGTTCAATCTTCGGATGAACTCGGTGAAGATAAAAGGTTAAATTTCAAGAAAACATATAGAAATGAAACATTGTTTAAAGTTCATTCAGAACCTAACCAAGATGGAAACAAACCTACTTTTGTTTCTGCAGACGAATGGAACTACAATGAGATGGGGTCATAAAGCTAATCCGGATAGGTGGTTCATAAACTTACAACCACAATTCCAAGAAGTTGTAGACGCAATGAAGTCAATGGTGAACCAGATATAGCTGGTATTTTCAGCGCGGCTTTAATGCCATTGAAAGATATGAAACATGCAGATATTTTGGACCAGTATGAAATGAACATGGCTGATGGAAATATAACACCTGACGTTCTAGAACATTTATCTCAAAGAACTACACAGAACCATAGAGATGGTATATTTGGTGAAGAGTTTAAAGAAAGTTAGGGAGAGAGAAGGAAGAGAACCTATTGTACATGACCTTGCAAACGAAAGTTTACAAAATGTCATAAAAACTTACTTTGCAGACGATGAATCGAGAAGGGATGAATATTTAAGAAAACTCAAATGGACAGTACCAAATGAAATGTTAGTATTGAAAAACATGTTCCTTGACAAATAAAACCAACTACAGAAATAAACGACGCAAGACTGAAAGATTGGGTAAAGCTTTCCCATTCACAAAAGATATAGTTGGTAACATGGAAAGAAAACCAGAATGGCTACAAAAACATATATTTGGAAACGAGCTTATTCCATATGGACAAGCACTGTTTGAAGCGCTTGAACCGGAAACTCAGGAAAGAGTCATGCAAACAATACGCGAAGACTCAATACAGACTATGACAAACTTTTCTAGGTTACCTGAGATGGGCGACCAGAGCCAAAAGCAAAAGGACATGGAAATTGCAACATACTAGATGAACATAATGCAAAGATGCAACAACTTCAAGCAGAGGGCAATGAAGGAAAAGAAGAGTTAAAAACTCAGTCAGGAAGAAAGTAAAGCTTGGTCGGAGTGGGTTCTTTATGACATATAAATCCAACTATTCTATATTTTTACTCATATGAAATGTACGCCGCTCAGAATATAACGCCAACAGTTTTGGATGCCATGAATGGAAATGTTTCCGAATGGTATAACGAATGCGACAATGCCATTAGAAGGTCAGAAATAGTTCCTGGAACTTACGAATATACAACTGCTGTTTCTTATGGAAACGTAGGTGAGTTTGGAGAAGGTTCTTCAACAACAGTAGATATTGCTTGCGACAGGTTTCATATAATTTCTATTGACAACTCTTTCTTATACGTGGAACAAGACATTGAAATAAAACCTTCTGCCAAGTTGTTCTGACAAGAAAGGTTGCAATGGAATTTTCTATGTCGGATACCAATATGCTCAGAAGTTTCATGGATATAAGATATATTCTAACTCTGACTTAGTTCAAACAGTAACATGGGCAAACTATGAATGGTTCGCTTTGAGAAACTCAGTACAACCACAAGTAGAGAACAAACAGACCAGTATGCAACTATTGAGAAATAAGAAAGACTTGACCCTAACGTTCCAGGAGTTTTATGTTACCTTTCTGGACAAACTGCAGCAGCAGTAACCAAAGTAAAACTGAAAACTTAGAGTTCCTTTGTCATCTTTCCTCATTTCAGGTTTTTAAGATACTTGCCAAACTGGCAGGAAAAATTTCTATTGAACTTACTCCAAGCAAAATAACTTAGTCATTGCACCAACACAAGACCCATTCACTCTACAGAAGTAGTGGGAACAAATAAAATGTCATTCGCCGACTTTTGCAAAAACAAAGTTGACTTAGACTTGGTTTCTCAAACCTCAACACTGAAGTAAACTATTATTTCAATGCTGCTGGAGATGCTTGGGACCCAGTTAAGTTTACATGCGAAAATTTGAATGCAAGAGAATAGAAAGCAGACTTGCGTCTATATGTTGGACCAGATATTTCAAATGCTTTAGCTGCCAAATATATTGCAGTTCCACTTATGTTCCCTATACACCAAATATCTGTCAAAGACTTT